AACAAGATTAAATTAACTAGAAAATGACATGGCGATACTGATAAGATGTTGAAAAAGACACTTAAGTACAGTTCAGGATATTTATAAGGGGAAACGTTTCGCCACGAGTGACGTCTTCAGTCATGATGACGTCACTGTCTCTGTCTCTGCACCATGAGAAATTTTTGGCCGTATTCCTCCTTTCGAAGAAAACATCGCCACCTTCTGCAGATGGCTCATCTGCACAAAGCTGGTGTGAATTAACCTTCTCGTTGCACCACCTGCTTTCTTCTCTCGCTTTTATCTTTGGCTAATCTTTCCTAATGCAAAGCTTCTTAACGAGAGAAAAAAAAGTAATCTCCGTCGTAAGTATTCCACAGAGAAGTATTTCACACACTCACCCAGTGATACATAACTCTCAGGAGATTACAAAAAAAATTTTTTTTGTGCATTTTTAAGATCGCTATACTTTTCAACGTAAAAAAAAAAACGTAAAAAAAATCAGAAAAAAATGTCTCATTCTGGGTTATCTCAGAGACAGAATTAATCCAAAGTTCTGCTTTTATGGAGTGAATGTGAATCAAGTCTTCTAACAAGTTACTTTATTTTCAAGCATTTAGTAACTTTTGTGCGAGTGTGCTGACAAGTGTTCCTGTGCAGTATTTCCTGTGCTGATTTTCTCTTGTTTTAGCAGAGTTGGGTGTGGATGTGTCTCTTGTGGCAGTCTCTTCCAACTTTCACATTTGATTCAATATTTAGTAGTGTATCACCGTGTGGGACCTTGACTATTTCAGCAGCCTGTTACAGCGTACCTTCCTAACCATATAATACGCAGATTTTTTAACCCTTCAGTATGGAGATTCCTAAACGTATGTTATATATATGCAATAAGGTCACAGTAAACAGGTGATATCACAATATGCAGAACAACCACTGTGAAAAAAGTAGTGAAATTCCAAGCGTTTTCGTGATTTCTCACATTCTACACACACCACACACACACACACACACACACACACACACACACACACACACACATAATATATATTATATATAATATATATATATATATATATATATATATATATATATATATATATATATATATATATATATATATGCCGAATATGTAAAACTGGTCAATTAGCAAGAACTCATTTAAAATTAAGTTATTTCTGGAATTTTCTCTTATACGTTTAAAGATATATTTTTTTCATTAATGTTAATGCAAAAATTTTTAATTTTGCACCAAAAGAATCTTAGAAAACTTACCTAACCTTATTATAACAAGAGCAATTTATTTTAGCCTAACCCAACTAAATATATTTTAAATATGTTTACAATAATTTAATACTAAACAAACACAATCAAATATATTTTTTTCGTTAGGTTCAGAATGATTTTGGCGAAATTATTGCATACACAAATTTTCACTTGTCCTATATGGCAAGATGAGCGTTGCTATTTAAGCCAAGATCGCAAGTTCTGCCTATTCGGCACGACATATATATATATATATATATATAATATAATATATATATATTATATATATATATATATATATATATATATATATATATATATATTATTATGTCTTGAAGCTGATGGAAGACTCTTCATGCAAAGCTTTGTAATCTGCCTTCCCTGCCGTATTCTTTATACACCGGTGACTTGTGTTCAACTGGTTGTACATCCTCTAATATACCTGTTTTACATCCCTATTTTGTATATCCTCTTACAGAGTCTAATGTTCAGGCCATTCAAACTGGCGTACAGAATAAGCTGCTGTACAGGCTGTTGTACAGGCTGTTGTACAGGCTGTTGTACAGGCTCTTATACAAGATGACAGACTGATAGCATTATCTTGACATCTCTACTGCTTCTGCTGCCTCTGCGCTCGACTGAAGAAGCCTGCTGTGTAGGTGAAACATTTCGGAATAAAGATCCCTAACTGTCGTACACATGCCTTATCAACTCGTCGGTACTGTACACCATTATCATGTCCTGTTGTACAGGTTGTAGCACAAGCGAAACGTTATCTCCATCAAAGTTACCTCTCTACGTTTTATCTCTCTTTCATCCAGTCCCTGGAGCTTTACTCCAACACTCTCCACAATAATAATATACACGTAACACATTCATACAATCAGCTGCCCACATCATGCATATTAATGTGAAGCTGCATGTGAATTGCACACATTCTTTTATCCACCGCTTCATATGTGGGTTTCACGACTCTCTTCATCACAGTAATGAAAATCTCTCTCCTCTGTAATTGCATTTTTCGTAACCTTTTTATTAAGAGAATATTTTGTTTTGTATAATGTTTTGTGAATATTACCGTTACAACTCGTGCTGATACTCTCCAAATAGTTTCATCTTCTGTTTATATATATATATATATATATATATATATATATATAATATATATATATATATATATATATATATATATATATATATATGTCGTGCCGAATAGGCAGAACTTGCGATCTTGGCTTAAATAGCAACGCTCATCTTGCCATATAGGACAAGTGAAAATTTGTGTATGCAATAATTTCGCCAAAATCATTCTGGACCTAACGAAAAAAATATATTTCACTGTTTGTTTAGTATTAAATTACTGTAAACAAATCTAAAATATATATAGTTGGGTTAGGCTAAAATATATTGTTCTTGTTATAATAAGCTTAAGTAAGTTTTCTAAGATTCTTTTGGAGCAAAATTAAAATTTTTTACAGTAACATTAATGAAAAAATATATCTTTAAAAGTATAAGAGAAAATTTTAGAAAGGATTTAATTTTAAATGAGCTCTTGCTAATTGACCAGTTTTACATATTCGGCACGACATATATATATATGTATATGTGTGTGTGTGTGTGTGTGTGTGTGTGTGTGTGTGTGTGTGTGTGTGTGTGTGTGTGTGTGGTGCCTCACAGGTAAAACTTGTGATTTTGGCTTAAATAGCAATGATCTTCTTGCCGAATAAAAGAAGCAAAAATTTAGCAAAAATCATTCTGAACCTAAGGAAACAATGTATTTCATTTTGTTTGTTTAATATTAAATTATTGTAAACTTATCTGAAATGTATTAGTTGGATTACGCTAAATTAAATTGCGCTTGTTATATTAAGGTTACGTAAGTTTCCTAAGGTTCTTATGGTAAAAAAATTATTAATTTTTACATTAACATAAATGAAAAATATATCTTTAAACGCCCATCCTTGGAGGAGAGGGAGGACAATGACACCATTCTTGGAGGATGGGTGTCACTGACACCATCCTTGTAGGAGGGGTGTCACTGACACTATCCTTGTAGGAGGGGTGTCACTGACACCATCCTTGTTCGAGGGGTGTGACTGACACCATCCTTGGAGGAGGGGTGTCACTGACATCTCAGGTGCCATTAAACCAGGTTCAATATTTACTCTGCATCAGATAATGTTGACAGTGGTGGTCGATGCCTTGTTTTGGAGACTCAGGGAAGGAGAACGCAGAACTCCCTTGTGAATATTGTTTTCCTCTCTCATGTTTCACCTCCAGCAGACATGCCAGGCAACACTGGAGAGCCTCCTCAATATTTCTCATTCATTTTTTGGGAGGGTTCAATTTGTTGTTCTCACCTTTTTCCTGTGCTCTACAGGCTTTAATTGACCTCCGTTGGTCATTTGTCTGTTTCCTGTTTGTTTCAGCTGGTATTTTTTCTTTCGTTCGTGGCTTACGAGGTTCCATGTATCTCACTGTTGTAGTTGCTCTCTCTCTCTCTCTCCCTCTACTTCTCTGTCTCTATCTGTCTGTCTGTTTGTCTCTCTCTCTTTCTCATCCCGCTGCTTCTCCCTTGTAGCGTACATACATAAAAATCTCAGTAGTAATGACCCTGCGTCACAGGCGAGTTCCTGTTTCCTGTGTCGCTACAGCAGCTACCAGGAATTATAAAAGTGGAGCCAACACTAACTTGTTGCTTAAGGACGGAAGAGTGAGCTTTAATTTGCTGTTCGGGACAATTAGTTGAGTTCTCGCAATTTACTAAAAAAAATGTACTTGTGCAAACGTAATATACAGCTTTTTTTTTTTATTTTATCCCTATAGATATACGAAGAGAACAGTTTTTTGGGGCATAATTTTATCATATCGTCAGAATGACACTGTATACAAACTTAAAACTTCAATTATCTGTGGAGAAGATGTGATATAAATTGTAGCCTCTGGTTGATAGTCCCGTACAAATATTTTCGAAATCTATTATCCTGAAGTTAGGAAACGAGTATAAACAAAGAGAGCGCAGCTGAACTTGCAGAAATATAAGGTTCCGATTAACATAATGTTACCTGGACTTTGGGAAGACAACAAACATGGCCACGTACGTGTAAGGTAAACACAGATTTTTATTTGCCTGAAGTACTGTGCATAACCAGGGAATTTTCAAGAACGATATTAAATGTTATTTAGGTTTGTAGAAATTATGTATGATGTGGGTATAAAAATAATAATAATAATAAAAATAATAATAATAAATTACTATTTATTATTATTATTATTATTATTATTATTATTATTATTATTATTATTATTATCTTTACCATATGTCTGAAAAATTCTACTAAATTTTCCCCTTGAGATGTATATTAGAGAGGAATTTTGATTAAAAATTATGATATGATTTTTTTCTTAAACATAATAACATCGACTCTGTTATTTAGACACAAACTGTAGAAAATAAAAATGTTGTATTTAAACGTTTTGCTCAAAGGTGAGCGAAACAATGGCTTGTTCTGTTTTAATTGGCTGGGCGTGGACTCGACGGATTTTCTTCATTATTACAGATCATATGAAAATCCATAGAAACGGGTGTGTAAACACAGCAGTGTAAATACTGCAGTGTAAATACTGCAGTGTAAATACTGCAGTGTAAACTCTGCAATGTAAATGTTGCAGTACAATACATGCAACATGCTTGACCAACAATGTAATTATTCCATTCTTTGATACATATACTTCGTAACCTCATCTCTCCCTCACAGCCTTATATGTCTTTCACATCATCTCTCACTTACAACATCATCTCCTCACACCCTCATCTCCTCATACCCTTAGTTCTCCCTCTCAGTCTTACATCTCCTTCACATCATCACCTCTCCCTCACAACCTCATCTCTTCCTCACTCCCTCATCTCTCCCTCAAAGCTTCATTTCTCCCACATCTCTCACCCCCAGGGCACAACGACCTTCCGTGGAACATTAGGAAGTTCATGCACAACAAACTTCACAGTTTCAACTTCACGGCCGAGCTCAAAAAGCTTCGTCCGTGGTCGCGTTCCTCCTGGTCCCACACAGACCTGCCCAGGCTCAAGAGGGGCATGGTAGGTGCTCAGGTGAGTCTAGGAGTTCTCGATTATTAGAAGGGCATTGTAAGTGAATACAGACTATATAAAAGTGATCAACATGACATAATTAGGCTGTGTACTGTTTATAGTACACAGGTGAGGGGTCAGATGACGTTTCTGCACTAGGTGCCTTGTAGGTGCTGCTGATAACTCTGCTTAAATTTAAGAATAACGTGATAGGTGCCTAAGTTAGAGTAGGTGGTTTATATGTTCCTTTATGCTTTAGAATTAATTCTAGTACCACTAACTTTCATATTCTGTCTTAGGAGGTGGCATTAATTATGATTTAATGATTATATTTGTTGTCACTAACTGTGGTCTCCTGGTGCCACTAACTGTGGTCTTCTGATGCCACTAACTAAGGTCTGCTGGTGCCACTATGGCCTACTTGTGCTAATAATTCTGGTCTTCTGGTGCCACTAGTTATGATGTACTGGCCATAGCTAGTGCACTGACTCTGGTCTCGTGATACACTAAGTTTGGTCTCCTGGCGCCACTGAATCTGGTCTCGTCCACAGTTCTGGGTGTCGTACGTGCCGTGTGAGTCACAGAGGCTCAACGCTGTACAGCTGACCATAGAGCAGATTGACCTTATCAAGCGACTTATTGACCAGTATCCTGACGATCTCCGCCTCGCTACCTCTGCTGACGGTGAGTTTCGCCCCACTGGGGGGTCATCTGAGGTATGGGGTCATTTGGGGTCTGTGGTCACCAGGGTTAAAGGGACGTCTATATTCATCATTCACTTAGAAGTCAAATATCAACTGTACTATGATATCAAGTATCATTAATTTTCCGAGAGTTAGAACTCACTTTATGGTCATAACCCGACTGTCAACAACTTACTTAACAAAGTGAAATAGGAACCCCAAACTGTTCAAGGAATTATATCTTGGTTAAATATTTCACCGAATCATAGAACCAACCTGGGGTCAACATTCTACATGATTCACTATTTAAGAAGATAGTGCGATAAACATCCACTAGGATGAAAACCTTCTAGGAGTGAGAAAATGAGAATGTTTTGAGAGAAGAGGCAAGAAAAAAGCAGTTGGTTTGTAAACAGAAACTGAGTGAAAGGTGAGGTGAGGTCAGGTATCAAGGGAGACACCAGAGGTCAAACGGAATAAGAAATAACGTAACATTAGTCAAAAACTGGGATTTTTTAAAAAAATTTTTTTTTATGAAATATTTAACAGGTGACACAGAAACAGTGTGAGTAAAAATATATATATATATATATATATATAATATATATATATATATATATATTATATATTATATATATATATATAATAGAATATATAGTATTATTTACATATATATATATATATATATATATATACATATATAATATATATATAATATATACATATATACATTTATATATATAATATATATATATATATATATATATATATATATATATACATAAATAATATATAATAATATATAAATAATTATATGTCGTGCCGAATATTAAAACCGGTCAATTAGCAAGAACTCATTTAAAATTAAGTCCTTTCTAAAATTTTTCTTTTATACGTTTTAACAGGATATATTTTTTTTCCTTATTGTTTGATGTAAAAATTTATCATTTTGCAACCAAAAGAAACTTAGAAACTTACCTAACCTTAAATTATAACAAAAACAATTTATTTTAGCCTAACCCAACTAATATATTTAATTTGTTTTTTACAATAATTTTAATACTAAACAAACACAGTGAAATATATTTTTTCGTTAAATTCAGAATTAATATGGCAAATGAACGTGCTATTTAAGCAAAGATTGCAAGTCTGGTGCCTGTTCGGCATGACACACACCACTCCAAACACACACACACACACACATATATAATATATATATATATATATATATATATATTATAATATATATATATATATATATATAGATAAATATATATAAATATACATACAAATATATATATATATATATATATAAAAATATATAGATAAATATACATATATACCTAATTATAATACTATATATATATATATATATATATATATATATATATATATATATATATATAATATACAGATATATTATATAATATATATATATATATATATATATATATATATTATATATTTAATATAAATATATATATACATATATTTATATATATACATATATATATATATATATATATTAGATATATATATATATATATATATATATATATATATATATATATTATATAAAATATATATATATATTATAATATATATATATATATATATGTCGTGCCGAATATGTAAAACTGGTCAATTAGCAGAACTCATTTAAATTAAAGTCCTTTCTAAAATTTTCTCTTATACGTTTTAAAGATATATTTTTTCATTAATGTTAAATGGGTAAAAATTTATAATTTGCACCAAAAGGACTTAGAACTTACCTATCCTTATTATAACCAAGCACAATTTAATATTTTAGCCTAACCCAACCAAAAACATATTTTAGATTTGAATACATACTTTAATACTAAACAAACAGTGAAATAAATATTTTTTTTTCGTTAGGTTCAGAATGATATTGGCGAAATTCTTGCATACGACAATTTTCACTTGTCCTTATATGAATGGCAAGATGAGCTTGCTTTTTAAGCCAAATGGCAAATTTTGCCTATTCTTCGGGGCACGACATATATATATATATTATATATATATATATATATATATTTATATATATATAGTATATAATATGTCGTGCGAATAGGAAGAACTTGCGATCTGGCTAAAATAGCAACGCTCATCTTCCATATAGGACACTGATAATTTGTGTATGCAATAATTTCGCAAAAAATCATTCTTAAACCTAACAAAAAAATATAATTCAATGTGTTTGTTTTAATAATAAATTATTGTAAACAATCTAAAAATATATTTATTGGGTTAGGCTAAAATAAATTGCACTTGTTATAATAAGATTAGGTAAGTTTTCTAAAGATTCTTTTGGTGCAAAATTATAAATTTATTTACTTAACAATTAAATGAAAAAAAATATGACTTTAAACGAATAAGAGAAAATTTCAGAAAGACTTAATTTTAAATGAGTTTCTTGCTATTGACCAGCTTTACGTATTGCCATATATATAATAGATATATAAAATATATATATATATATATATATATATATAATATATCTATAATTATATAAATATATATATAAATATGGATGGCGGAATTTTTGAGAACTTTAATGTTAAGGAGAAAGAGAGGCAGTAATTTCATGCACTGGTCCAGGGAGGCATAACCATCTTTTAGGAGTGAAGAAGAGCAGAATGTAATGTGGGGCGGTACTGAGCATTAAACGTAGAATTAAAGGGGGTAAAGCAGCTGGAACTGATGGAATCATGACAGAAATGTTAAAAGCAGGGGGGAAATAGTGTTGGAGTGGTTGGTACTTTGTTTTAATAAATGTATGAAAGAGGGGAAGGTACCTAGGGATTGGCGGAGAGCATTATATCCTTTATATAAAGGGAAAGGGGACAAAAGAGACTGTAAATTTATAGAGGAATAAGTTACTGAGCATAATCCAGGAAAAGTGTACAGTAGCGGTAATAGTTGAAAGAATAGAGGTAAGAGAGAATTAGGATTGCGGATGAGCAAGGGAGGTTTCAGAGTGGGTAAGGGGATGTGTAAGATCAAGTGTTTACATTAAGCCATATATGTGAACAGTATTTAGATAAAGGTAGGGAAGTTTTTATTTGCATTTAGGATTTAAAAAGGCATATAAGAGTGGATAGGGAGCAATGAGGCAGATGTTGCAATGTATATGGAATATGTGCGGTAATTATTAAATGCCCGTCAAGAGTTTTTATGAGATAGTGAGGCTCAGGTTAGGGTAAATAGAAGACAGTGAGACTACTTTCCCGGTAAAAAAGTAGGATATAGACAGGGATGTGTTAATGTCAAACATGTTGTTAAATATATTTACAGATGGGGTTTGTAAAGGAAGTAAAATGCTAGGGTGTTCGGGAGAGGGGTGGGGATTATGTTTTGGGGAAACAAATTAAAAATGGGAAATTGACAACAGTTACTTTTTGCAGATAACTGTGCCTTATGGGGGATTCCTAAAGATAAAATTGCAAAGGTTAGTGGATGAGTTTGGGAATGTGTGTAAAGGTAGAAAGTTAAAGTGAACATAGATAAGAGTAAGGTGATAGGGTATCAAATATTTAGATAAAGAAAAAATTGATATCAAATTGGGGAGGAGAGTATGAAGAAGTGAATGTTTTCAGATACAAGGGAGTTGGACGTGGTGTCGGCGGATGGATTTATGAAAGATGAGGTTAATCATAGAATTGAGGAGGGAAAAAAGGTGGAGTGGTGCGTTGAGGTATATGTGGAGTCCAAAAACGTTATCTATTGAGCAAAGATAAGAAGTATGAAAGTATAGTATACCAACACGTTAGATGGTGGACGCTTGGGTGGTAAATATGCAGCACGAGGAGACGGTTTGGAGCAGTGATGACCTGTTTAAGGGCAATGTGTGTGTAAATATTATGCAAGAAAATCGGAGGTGGAATTAGGAAAAGTGTGGAGTTAATAAAAGTCTTAGTCAGAGGGCAGAAGAGGGGTTACTGAGTGGTTTTGGTCATTTAAGAGAATG